ACACCAGGTCATTTTGAGTCAGGGTCCACCCCATCCACAATCAGCAATGGAAATTCCAAAGGTGCTTTTTCAGGCTACTGGAGTTTCCAGACTTTTAGCAATGGAAAATTTGGTTATCAGAAGATTCAAATATCCAAAGCCAGGCTATTTTGCCTGAACTGTATCCAGGACAGGGACAGAACATCAGGCAACCTGGAGTAAAAATAGAAAGTTGGCTATTATCAACATATTGATACTTCACCTCAAGCCATCAGATCACCTCCTCCATCAGCCTCATGTGGATGTTAAAGAGGAGAGAAGAGAGAATACAGCCTTGGAACACCCTAAAAGTAGCGGCTGTGGATTGGATCTCTCCTCAGCCACCAGTCATCTCCCCCCCCATCAATTTGACTACAGGAAATCCAAATTTTCAGTATTCCTCTGATTTTAAGGAAGGTTTCTCCAAGGGCTTTTCCTTGTTTTCTCCAATCCTCTATAGAGATTACATTCCAAAGAAGAGTGTCCAGTACCTGCAGAAAAACTTGAAATCACATAACAAACATTGCATAATTTCTCTTGCTCTGTTTCAAGCAATCCAGCATACCGTATTGTTACCATTTGTCCTATCGACTCGAAATTAAGAACTTGGGAACTGCTTTTTCTTAGGCAAAATCTTCCAAGCCCTTCCTTTTTCTGTTTCTGTAATCCCTCCCTCCGCAAAACTTTTATTATGCAACACCTTTTCTAATTAAGTTTCATTTTCTGTGCCCAGATATCTAGGTTCTGCTTCATTATTTTTAAAGCTGATGTATTTTAAGATGTTCCTCTTATTGCTCATATCATCAAGCTTAATTGCTCCCACTGCAAACCCCCCCCCCTTCTTTTCAAAGATGGAATGAGTAAATAATGCTAGGACAAAAATAGTTCAGAGGGAGATGACGGTCTTTTTTCTTCTTCTAAGTTTTGTAAGCTCCCTCCTCCATACATTCTTTTTCTGAGTAAACTCACATTTCTGTATTCAGCCATCACTTCTGTCCAAGTGAAAGTGTTAAACCCTGGTTATAAATAAAATACACAAGAGAATGCCTAGGAATGCTGATCCAAAGTATTGCCATAGCAGTATTAATTTTCATGAGTTCCCAGTTATGTACCCTATTTTGGTATTAAAAGGAATGGGAAGAATGCAGAAAGCAATCTTTAAAGGAGGGATTTTTAATATAGGCCACGGGTCTCCAAACTTGGCAGTTTTAAGACTTGTGGACTTTAATTTCCAGAATTCCAAGCATGGCTGACTGAGGAATTCTGGGAATTGAAGTCCACAAGTCTTAAAAGTTGCCAAGTTGATTTAGGCCAGTGGGCAAACTTGGAATTTTAAGCACATTAAACAAACTGGATTTTATGGGGAAGTAAGTGACATCTGCAACATATAACAATGACATCAAAATGATGACATGCACACAAGATCAACATGAAAATGCCATGACTACATATTTGCTGTAGGAAATGACCAGGCTGAGCCCGAGGGAGGGGTCAAATGTGTCATCAGTCATGAGTCCCTTCGTGCCCACCAGGGGTATAAGTCCAGCCCACTTTGAATTCCTTTAACTCTTATCTGCCGCTAAATTTGCTTGGACCATTAGTAATTCAGAATCTTGTATAGAGATTAAACTTGCAATATATCTTTATACACATTTGAACCACCTGGATCTTCTGATTTCTGCGGTGCATGACTACTTGCATCCCAATGTCTGACAGAAGTATTCAAAATGGGGTGCACTGTCATTTGACTCCCTGGCCAGAGACATGAGAAACAGGGTGAAGAAATTTCTCTATTAACAGCCGGCTGTTGTGAAAGTATATAGAAGTATAGAATTCTTTATTGGCCAAATGTGATTGGACATACAAGGAATTTGTCTTGGTGCATATGCTCTCAGTGTACACAAAGGAAAAGATACATTCGTCAAGAATCATAAGGTGCAACAATTAATAATAGCCATAGGGTACAATAAGCAATTAAATCATACTAGGACTGGCATAACCACTTTTAAGCTGTTTTTCAGAAAGCAAATTTGTGATACCTCTATTACTCCCACAAATCACAAGTAGCCTTCCAAATTATTTTTGACCCTCATCTAAAATAAAAGCTCAGATACAACCATCAACTTTTTAAAAATTTGCTAATACCACCGCAAATAGTAAAGTGATGCAAAGGTTGGCACTTGCTTTGTAACATGCCAGCTTCTCATTTCCTTTGAATTATTTAGTTCTTCAAATTTTATTATTCACCCAACTACAAAAACACAGAGGAGGAAGAGAGCATAGCAGATGGTACAGGAGGGATCTGCATACAGCCCTTTGGTGATCTCAGAATTAAACTTTCTCTTATTCACAGAACAGACTTGTTAAGCAGTGTACTGATTCTTTCCAAGAAACAGGTATCACTAATCATATAACGCAGGGGCTCCCAAACTATGGGGGAAGAGTATGAAGAACTTTCAAAGAGGAGGTACAAAGAACTTCTTTGGGTAAACCCCACCACCCCCCAATAATTTTCAAATAAAGCTCAACAGAATGATGAATTTGGCTAAGGGAAGCACTGGGAAGATCAAGGAGTTTGTAGTGGGAACTTTGGGGCTGATTGAGTTGACCAGGAAGTCTGAGGCTGGAAGACTGATGCGTACCTTAATTCTTGCACAGACTGGCTGAGAACTTGACAACTTGAGGGCTGCTAAAATCCAAAAGGGATTGGAATGCCAGAAACTTTGAAATCACTCGCTACTATAGCACAATAGAGTGTCACAGGAATGTCTGCAAATCTCTTCACACACTGCATTTGAAGGCTGTATGTAGTTTCTTTGACCCCTTTTCCCTTTCCTTCTGCACCTTTTGGCTGTGCCATCTTGCCTGATTAGATTTGGAGATTTTGAAAGCTTGTGTAACAAATTCCGAGTATTCTGTTTTTTTCCAAATTGTCAACCACCTATCTTTGTTTGTGTTTGCGGAAGGGGGTTGGGGGTTGGCATAGTTTGTTTGAAAAAATAAAAATCATGAAACTTCCATCATACTTTTTTAATTCTGAAAAAACAAAACAAAACAAGAATATATTTGACAAGTTACCTCCAATGTCCCCAAAGGGGAAAGAGTAGCAAGCAAAACAAGGTGGTTTTTTTTTTAGAAAAAAACAAGCTTGTTGAAAGAAATTTTCAAAAAAAATCACTGCAAAAATATGAAATCAAAAATTATATCTGTGTGAGCTATTAATCTCTGTTGTATTCCAAAAGACCTACACAATTAATTCAGGTACAAGGTAGGCAGGTATCAGCAAACTGCCGTTGAACCTCAAGTCATTATGGAAAGCAGTTTGTGATATGATACCAAGTGAAAAGTCAACATTCATTCTTTTATTTAAAATATTCTATGAATTCCAGCTATATTAATTTTTAATTCTTTTGTTTTTTAATAGAGCATTTAAAAAACATTCTGAAAAATCAGCAAATTGCTAAAGGACAAACTTATTTGTTACATTATGATTTAAGACACCTTAAGTTAAGTTATAAGCCCGAACATGGCTGGCAGAACCTCTCTTTAAAATTATAGATGGAGATGTTTTTTGAAATAATTTGGTTCTAAACTATTATTTTCATAATTTTAAATACAATTTAGTAACTGCTTAGCAGTCAACACATTTCTGACTAATCAAATAGTGTCAAGGTATACCAACTAGAAGTAGTAAAAGCCAATTTAACTTTTTAATATGTTAGTCCAATCTCAGGGTGATCCTGCCAAATGAACTAATACATTTAAAAGTTAAATTCGCTTTCGTTACTTCTAGTTGGTATACCTTGATGTCTTGGATGAAGAAGTAACAGCAAATGCTCATTGAATCTGGAGATTATTTAATACTCTGTAAGAAAGTAAGTCCAAAAGTTTTGAGAGAAACAAGTTTAAATTAGCATAATTATAGTTAAGAGATACAAGAGCAATTTTTTTTTCATTTTGAAACAGAAATCAAAAACATAGCTATAAAGGATAAGCTTAGAGTAGCATGGTGGCCAAGTGGTGAAGACACTCACTCCCACTTGGAAGGTTGAGAGTTAATTCCTAGGTAATAGCTGTTTCTCTCCTAGGGCACAAAGAAAAGGTATCTGCCGTGAACTCTACATGGCATCAAGAAGGGCATCCGGCCAGTAAATGCTCAGCTTCATCCAGTTTCCCCGACTCTATCCGAATTAAGGGATTACAGGGTTGTAAAAACTGAGTTACAGGATAAGCATACATAACGTTAATAGTTCTTAATGGAGAAAAAACTTGTTGCCTGCAAATGGAACATATGTGATGTGGTTACAAAGAAAAAAAAGGCAGAGGTACTTTAAGCCTGCATCAATAAAACCGTATTTTTCCAAATGAAAGGAAGTGATCATTCTACTATGTTCTGTTTTCTTCAGATTCCACCATGAATGTCCATTCCTGGGCAGTATACTTTAAGAAGAGAATAAAAAGAGACTGGAGTAGCTGGCGACATTTAGTTTTGTGAAAAGACTGGAGGTAAGAAATCTAACACACTTCAACCACCTGAAATTAAATCATACAGAAGAAAGTGAAGACTTGTAATCATTCTAAGATTTAAGATACAGAACAAGGGATTTAAACTGACTGAAAGGCAATTCCACCTGAATATCAGGACATAATTACATATGTGTGTGTGTGTGTGTGTGTGTGTATCACAATAAAAATACAGGACATAACAAAGATGGGGAGTTTACAGGGGAGAGATGGGATGTGTTATTGGTCCGTCAGCCACCTCCAGCATAATAAAGGGTCCTTCATTGGAGTGGTGGCTTGATTGATCTGGCATGCTCTAATTTGATCCTGTGTTAAGGAGGCGGTTGAGCTTGCATGGTTCCCTCCAACATCAGGTTTCTATGCATCCGATCTCTGCTACCAGTTAAAGCTTTTCCAAATTACATGTAGGTCATGTGTTAAGGACAAGTAATGACAGATTTGTATGAAATCAGATTTTATTGTAAACCATTATTTAGGTCCAACACATATGCTTTCCATTTTCATAAAATACCAACAGTAAAATTATGATCTGGTGGGCCTTATGGTTTCCTTTTTAATGCTGTAGAGCTGACATTCATTTTCATTTTGAATCCTCAAAAGAACATTGTGTATTAATTAGCAATGGCTGGATCCAGTTCTTTTTCTCCCTCCTTTTGCCTTGTGCTTTCTAAAAAGTTGTTTCATGGGACAACTATGGAGATAGCCTTGGAAAAGGGTAGAACTGTAAAATCACGGTTCTGACCCCTACTTGCAGTGAGGAACATCTCCTGGCTTCCAAGTTTCATTCTCCCAAATTTTCCCATTTATAGACACATCAATTTGGAACACCCCTTTAAGTAAAAAAGAAAAGATTCAAGATGTTTCTATATCTAAAACCACAATTTCCCCATCATTTACTGAACATTAACCATTCTGATACATTGCCAGTTTCCTATGATCAATGTGGCTGAATCTGTGTGCTTGCCATTATTGTCCTTTTCGTTAAAGCTAAAATCTGCAATTTGCTATGCACAAAAACCCAACTTGTGAAGAAGAAAATATAAGGCTGCACATTCCTGTCCTGCCCCCTTCTTTTCCAGCAAGGCTTAATGGGAAACCCTAAGCACCTGCTTGTGAAAGAATGGCTCTGGGACATTTTGCATTGTTTTAGTTTAGTTCACAATTCAACGAGTTTGAGGTCTTTTCCCTGAAGAGAAACTTAGCGCACGTTTCACTAGCAACATTTGTAAAGGACATTTTACTTTTTACTTAAGGGTAGTCGGGAGACATTAAAACACTGAAGTCAAAAAATGAAGGCTGCATTAAAGGCCAAAGGATTTCTGAAACAATTCTGTTAGATATCAGAAGTCTTGATTTCATGAGGGATGCTAATCTTGATCATTTCATTTTTGTTTTTTAGTCATTTAGAAATGGGAAGGCTACCATTTTGCTCCAGCAAATTCAACATTCTATTACAATTTTCTAAGTGTAGAAAGGCCTGAATCTCAGACTCATTAGAAAAAGATAAACATTATTTTACAAAAAAAAAAAAAAACATGGAAAGAATCATTCTTAAGAAGAACACTATTCCTTCTTTTGAGCTTCAAATTAGGCTGCTGGGCAATGCCATTCAACATAAAACAGTAAACGTGAACTCTGTTTAATGTGGACTATTTAAACACATTTAAGGCTTTGGGTTTGGTGTTTTAGAACCCCCCACCCCCCAACAGCAACATACTATCCCAACTGTTAAAAGTAGTCCGTACACAATAGAAGTCACTGGATAAAATGAAGAAAGTTTTTGCATTTAGACACACACTATTGAAATTAATAAGGCAAACAGAAAACAACAGGTGTTTGGCATTGTTTCGTTATCTCTTTAAAAGATTCCATTTTTCTGAGTTTTCATTCTGCCATACAATTAAGAGGACCATGCTGCTGTCTACTTAATGAATTGGTACAATAAAACCTGCTTATAAATTTCATGGTTGACAAACAGTGATTTATAGTATTAGAATTATATAGTAAAAACATAAAAAAACAGTATGGTTGGAAGCAATATTAATCATGGGCACTGCCCTATCACTTTATAGGAGCTTCTTTTAGTGTAATACTCAAATAAATAATTGGGTTTTCTTTTCATCTAAACACAAAAAAGGAATGTCTTGGAACTATACTGTAGAATAAGACAATACTTTCTGGTCTGTCCTTCTCTAAGACAGAACCTTGAGAACATTCCCTAAGAGTAGTAGGCACTCTTCACCTTAGAATTACCACTAGTCAATAAAAAAGAAAAACAAGAACCCCACTCAAAACTGCAGAATCCACTTTTGCATCCTAAGCCCAATGATCTTTCTGAAAGCTAGGATCCTCTTTAGCTTGTCCTCTCCTAAACAAAGTATTCATAGAAAAACCATACAAAATGCCTTGGAAAAGATCTGCACTCCTATCAATGAATATGCTTAAGGCTCAAAATACAACCTCTCTTTCTCTGAAGTATTAATTTGATTTTTTTTTCTCCCGACATCTCTTGCTGTTTGATTGAAATGAGCATGGAAAACAGTCAAACAATCAATGGGGGCTGGCCCCTGAAGGCTCATGAGGCACTTCTGTAACTTGGTTACCTGCCCCCAGTCAGGCCTTGCCACCCCACAACTTACAAAAGATTAGCCATCTTGCTCCTCTTGGCATTGAATTTGTAGCGTTCAGGACACAACTTACAAGGGCTAGAGAAGAGGGTAAAAAGAAAGGAAGCCCCTCTTTTCAAGAAAATGCGGTAGGGGTGTGTGTGTGTGTGTGTGTGTGTAAAAAAAATCAGGAAAACTGCTCAAATTCATTCCAGAGATGGGCAGCCTAGAAATGCAATAAATCTGAAAAGAAGAGGCAGAGAGAGAAGATGGAAAGATATAGAACCTATTAACCAGTCAATGGTTGCTAATAGTGTTTTGAAATACATGCTAGTGCCAGGGCAAGATCCTTGTAATTTAATCCAGACTAACTGTAGAAGTGTGCACAGTATAGTTTTGTTTAGATTGTTACACCAGGAGCAGTTTCTTTCTTCTTGGAAGGGTCCTGTTATAACAGTTATTGAGGGGAAATACACTTGGAATTCAGGGGTGCAAGTGGAGAAATTGTTGATTTGTCTTTTGAACAAATAAGGTTAGGGAAGAAGATATCAAGTACTTAAGTTTTTCAGTGAAAGTTTGCATGGTTACAATGTGAACTCTAGATATGTAAAGGATTTGGCAGACAGTGTTTATGTCAGTCATTTAGAAAAAAAATCCTGCAATTTTATTTCTATTGCTAACTGAAGAATTTAAAAATTTATTACATTAAAATTAATTATTAACATGTATTCCAAAAAGCAATTTCAGAGAGATTCTAAGGGATGTGGTATAGTGTTCTTGCATTATTTTTGATGGCCAAGGGTTGTATTTGAACATCTCATCTTTAACTATATAACAATCTGTTCAATTTTTGACCTCACATTTGCTTTTTCAGATTTGGAAGGGTGAGTAGCCAGGGAAGCTTATGAATGATAGAAAAACGTATCATAGGAAACAGCAGCAGTTGCTTTTCCTACCTCCAACAAAAACATCATCAAGGAAAATAATTCTCAAGTAACCTGAGAATACGACAGAAAGAAAATATATAAGAAATTGTAAGGCAGGCTTTGGCACAGCACTAGTTTGATTTAAAAAATAATAATTATGCAGTAAATAAGGAAGGAAAGAAATTTTGATAATGTTTTAAAGCCCTTGGTTTGGGGTTTTGTGTATTTGGGACAAAAAATAAACATGTGGAAGGATAAAACTGACCCAGTGGAAAGTAGTCAGTACAAAACGTAGAAGGAAATCTCTGGGACCATTCTTAAAAAGATAACAGTTACAAATTTCTAGATCTAGAACAGATCTGTCAAACTGGTGGTCCATGGGCCGAATACGGCCTACACAGGCCACGCCCACCCTGGCTCTGCAAAGGCAAAAAAATCCCAATATGTCACAATACGGCCCCAGATACGATCAGTTTTGCCACCCCGATCTAGAATTTGTGCTCATTCTGCTTAACACTGCTTCTCTCATTCCCAGAGGTACAGCAAATTTCCAAAAATAGTTTAACTACTAGGCTTATAGTAACTTAAAGGAGAGGTGAAGAACTATATGCCTGTCTGCTACTTGTCATTGCCCATTTCAGAGCAGAGCAAAGCAGAACAGAGCAGAGCACAGCAGAGGGAAAGCCATGAGTTTTTAATTAATTAAAAACTAAGAAAACATGTCAAGATGACTGCTATTAAGACATCCTTCTCTCTGTATATAGACAGCACCACTCTGTCCCTAAGCTTTTCCTGGAATAGATACTCAGTGGAATGGTTGGAAAAAATAATAGATTGGAGAAATAATCAGAGAACCAAGGACATTGATACAAAACTGTCCCATTGTCTTATAAAATATTATCATTAATCTTTTCAGGTCAATATTAAGGAATTGCACTGCTGTCCAGCTGTTGAATATTTTTAGCATCATCACAAGAGATGAGGATGAGGACAAAACTATAATTAGCTGGCTCTGCCTACCATTGGCTATTATTTCTTCTGCCCTACCAAACCAACAGGCACTAGCCATCACTGCAAGTAGTAATGAACTGGGCTATCAGACATCCCAATTAACAACAGGCCTACAAGTACTTCATCAAAAGAGACACTTCCCAGAAACTCTAGGGTAGCCATAATGACATTAACACTAATCACCAAATATGTTCATTATACTATGCTTTGACTCTGACCTAGCCATCTGAAATGAGACTTAACAAAAAGAAAAAGAAAAGAAAAATGGAGAATAAGCCATTAGTAATTCATAGACTCTCAAGCAGCCAGCTGAACTGCACTGAGAAGAAGCAAAATGCTCTTATCTGTACATCATTAGCTTTTGAAGACAAGGAATGTTTGCTGAAGTTTTGGAATAGTTTTGCTGTGAGATCAAAGGATTTGCAAATACTGAAGAAACCATTATTATCAAAATAGCGTTAAGTGTTGAGTTGATATACAGAGGAAAACCCTGTATTTGTTGCTTTTCTGCTAAAGTACTCAGCATACACACCCGTTTCAAGAGTGATCACTGCTGCCACTTCATTGTTCTTCGCTTCAGTTTCTCTTCAGAGCAAAGCCACCTCATTCTAGAAAGCATTCAGATGCCACTTCCCTTTGTCCCTGCACTATCCTTTTTTATGAGATATAGACAATGGAAAACCATTTTTGTTGCAAATCTGACCTTTTTAACCACATACACTAAGCAACAGTACAATTTCTTTGATAAAGAGACGCCTTAAATATCCCAGTATGAAAATATAACTTAAATATAAAAGTTTAAACAGGTTAGAAGAGATCTGGAAAAAAAAACACCTTTGCAGCCCATTAGTTCCATAGGTACCATTAATTTCTAACTGTAAAACTATTTTGCTTCAGCAGTACACTGCAAAAATTTGGGGTTTTTTTGTGATAAAACATACTGATTCAAAGTTTGTCAATCCTCCTATTACTTTCAGAGTGTCACTGAGGAACCACAGTGAAATGATGGTTTTCTATGCCTGTGTTCTGGAGGCTCCCCTCCATCTAAACCACTGTGGTGACAAGAATTTGTGAACACATACTGAGAAGAGACTCTTGCATATTTTCCATAGTGCAACTGAACAGGTAAGTGTTTCCAATGGTTGGATATTCCCTTTGATTCAGTCTTGAGGCAACAAGCATCCTATGGCCAAGTGAAAATTCACTGAGGTGGACAGATCTCTCATGAACTTGCAAGTATCCAGACTGCAGAGCCTGTCATACAGGCAGACCAAAGCGATGCTTTTTTTTCTTAACAGACTTTAAATTAGTCAGTCTCCTAAGATCTTCTTCCACGTCAGATTCCTCCATTTCATCATCTGCTGAAATTAGAATCTAAAGACAAAAAGACATGCAATTAAAATTACACCAAATTTCAACAAACATTTTGGCATTAAAGCTAACTTTCATGATTTCTCAAAGTATAATTTAAACTGGTTATTTTTCTCTGAACATATTAGCTGTATCTGAAGGAATTTAATTTATAAGTATATGTGAATATTTGTTTCTACTAAAATCATTTAGGATATACTAAGAAATTGAAATATAAATATGGTGCAGAAAGACAGACACACACAAAGACTCTGAACTGAGTAGTTCAGGATAAACAAAGCTAAGGGAATTATTAGAGGCTCTTTGGGACAGAATATGATCTCTGCCTAATTCAGGGAGATAAGCTATAGATTTCTACTGAAAACACCCTTGGTTGATCAGAAGTTCTAGGTAATCCAGTCTCAAACATTTCGTTTCTGGGAAAGTTGATTAAGAAACTGGTATCTCACCACTCCAGACACATCTGAACAATACTGATTATCTAGAAACATTTCAATTTTGCTTCTAATTGGTCTCTGGCACTGACATGCTTTGGTTGCTTTAATGGATGAATTATGCTGCTGACTGCATCTGAGGCTGGGGAGGGATGCAGACCTACTTGTTTTCCTGGAATTATAAATTGTTCTGCTGTGGATCATCCAGTGGGATTGGACTGTTTTGCAGTGATACCTGTGCTTCCTATTGCCCTATGGTGGGAAATTGATTTAGAAGACAATTATTCATTGTCTAACCATGGGTGTCCAACCTTTTGGCTTGCTTGGGCTGCAATGAGTGAAGAATTGTCTTGGATCTCATATAAAATATACAACATAAATCACACAATGATGTTAAAAGTTTACAATCTTGTGGTATAGTATTACTAGCTATCCAGGGCTGCATGCAGCCTGTGGGCCATGGGACTGGCAAACCTGATCTCAACCAGTGGTCGCCAACCAGTGGGCCGGAGACTACTGGTGGTCCATGAGAAAATTTTGGTAGTCTGCAGAGAAATGTCACCCCTAAAGCAATTAATCCAGGCTGCGCAGGAACACAAGGCTGCGCCGCCCACAAGGCCCGTGGGAACACACGGCTTGCATTGCGAACAAAATGAGGTAGTGAGGGGAGGGGGAAAAGGGCGGAGGGGGGAACTTGCACTACTTGCCCCATGCGCCTCATCTGGCCACTGGGCTGCTTCTTTCTTCTTCTGCTTTTGGCTGCAGGGAAAGCAGCAAAAGTCTTTCTTTCTCTCCCCCAAATGCCGCCAGAAATGAGTCTTTGGGATCCTGCAAGGCATCCTGCTCCAAGAGGCTGTGCTGGTGTGACAAGTCTCACAAAGACTCATTTCTGGCGGAATTTTGGTGAGACAAAGACTTCTGCTGCTTCTGCTGCTTTCCTTGAATGAAGCCAAAAGTCTCGTTCTCTCTCTTTCTCTTTCCCCCTGAGTATGGAGCTGGAGACGGTATCCTGTGATCCCAAATAAAGAATGACTGATTGGTAGGAAAACAGGGTGGGGAGTTTCCTGCAGAATTTTTTGGAGATTTTCCCAGGGTCTCTGGTCTGTGGGATATAAAATTATGAGTTTGTTCGTCCCTAAGGTACAAAAGGTTGGCAACCCCTGATCTAAACTGTTAATCTGTGGTATCCCACAGAGTTTGTCTTATTTTACCCGTTTAACATCTACATAAAATTGATTGGGGAAACCATTTGAAACTATGGAGTAAGTTGACATCAAACTATGACTTCCAATTCTTGATCAAAATATTAGTGAACCTCAACCTTTTCCCCACAGAATCCCAATTTGCTGTGAAATAAGTTGAAACTAACACAAATGATATCCACTGTTCTTTATTCTATAGTCCACAAAACAGACACTTTGCTTTTGATTTAGGATTTAACACATTCTTGTAATTAATAAACAAATTAAAATAGCATGGATATAACTATTAGTTTGCTATAACAGTTATAACAAAACCTAATATTTTGTAGCTTGCCTTTTTGAGAAAATAACTGTAATCAAATGTTTCTATAGTCCTGAACAAGACTTCTACATTTCCCAAATGGCAGTCTGTTCGCGCCTCTTAAGCAAATTACGCCATTTGTCCGAAGGGTTCCTTCTCTCAATTGTGAATCTTTTCATAGATGTTCTACTGGATTCAGATCAGAACTCATAGCAGGACCCTTCAGAGGACTCCAATATTTGTTTTCAACTATTCTTGGGTTTTCTTCAATGTACTGTATGTTTTTGGTCATTTTCTTTGCTAGAGAACCTGTGACCTGTGACTGAGACATAGCTTTAAAACACTGGACATTATGTTTTCTTCTAAAATTCCTTAATAATTCTCTGATTTCATTGCATACTGGTGCCCTGTATTAGATTTAATACCACCCCATAATATTGTGGAGATTCCTCCAAGTTTCACAGCAGGTTTTTTTTCTGCGAATCCAGAGCTGCTGTAACTTACCAAAAAGTTTTCATCTGTTCAAAGGACATTGTCCCAGAAGGACTAAATCTTGTCAACATTCATTTTAACAAATTCCAGTCAGGCTTTTTTGTGTCCACCTTTCAGAAGGAGGTTATTCCCAGGTCTTCTACCATGAAGGCAACGTAATGCGATATTGCTGTACCTTCATCTTGGAGGTTAGCCAGAATGTGTTTGGAATGTGTTTCCACCATTTGAATGTGTTTCCACCATTTAACTATAATTCTGTTGAACCTGGAATCAATTTTCCTCTTGCAGCCACATTGAGGGCAGTCAACATGATCCCAAGGACCTTAAAGGTCTTGATTATATTAGCAATCTTGGTCTCAGGAATATGAAGCTCTTTGGAGATAGCGTTGAAATTTTTACCATTCTGGGATATTATCTTATTCCTTTCTTCCTCAGACAAGTCTATGCTTTTTTTTTCTCTTTTCCAAATTTGCTGCGATGCACAATGATATAAAATGCCGGAGTACTTTTCTCCATTCAAATAGGCTGAGTGACTGCTTACGAAACAGAAGATCCCTTTGATACCAATTAAAGTAAATGTTCTATATGAGAGATCACTAAAATCCAGTATCTTTTAACTTCTAAGGGATGCAATAATGTCCATGCCATTTATGTTCAGTTATGTATCAAAAGCAGTGTCTGCTCTAATCTCTATGAACGTATTTTCTATTTGTTATTAGGAAGTTAGTCTCTGGGACTGAATTGCATGCTGCTTTAAATGGTGCTGTAGTTCATTGAAAGAGAAGTCCAAAGTCTGAAAGTTCTCAGTTGCTATTAGATAGATCTTGCAAAGAGCAAGTCTGCATTGTTAATGTTTACTGAACCAGCCATGATTACTCCTGCAACCAGTAAGCTGCTATTCAGGGTAAGGAACCCAGTTCATATAATGCCACTTATGAACAAGTTACACAGGTTGACAATTACTTATTGGATACATTTAAGATGCTGGTGTTAATGTTTCAACCCTGAATTACCTTAGGTCCTGGCTACCTGAGTGATATTCTCCCCTATTAGAGGCATGTCGGGTCTTTAAGAAGAGCAGGAGAGGCCTTTCTGAAGATGCCCTTGCTCTTGGAGACATACTTACTGGTATTCTAATTTTCAGGAATTGGTAGGTTCTGTAGCTACTCATACCTTAAGGAGAAGACCAAAGTTGCACGTCATTTGCCAGATTTTAAGTGTGAATTGAAGTCTGCTTTTAAATGCTTTACTTCCATGTTTTATTTACTTTCCGTGGCTGCCTTGGTGCTCAAAATGAACAGAAAACAGAGGAAATTAACAGATAAATTTAAAAAAAAGAAAAAAAAAGAACTTGCCTCTGACTCTGATTCCTCATGTGATGCTGCTCTCCTGTATCGGATTTTGCTCCCATTCCTTGAATCTTGACCTGATTCCTTCTCTTCAAGTTTAGCTTTTGTCTTTCCTTTCTTCATAAGGAAGTTATCAACAACCCAAAACATTAATGCCTATTAAAAAGGAGAAGTCATGTTAAGTTCCATTATCTTTCATAATGTTGGACAGTTATGAGATTCAAGGGATTTACAGTATAAGAAACCTCTATCTAAATATACCCAATTAAGATATATATATATATATATATATACTCATTAAGAAAGATGGAAACCTAAAACTGAAGTTCGCTAGATCTTTTTTCAAGTTCATAAACTCAAAAAATATAAAAAGAATTTCAATAGCTATTCAATAACTTGTAGTTTGCAAGTGGCACAAAAGTCTTTCTTTTATGCCCATAAAAGTGTGGTATCTATAAACTGGAAAGAACTGAACAAGTCAAAGACTAACAAAATGTATTTAAAAATACTATTTGTAAATTGTGTTAAAGAATCTTTAAATATAAAATCCCGCTAGTTAACTATTAAAACTAGTGGCCAAAGCAACTATTTATAAAATCATTGACACAGTAAAAATGTCTAGAATGCAAAATAAATGTATTGCAGATACTGTTTTTGAATTGTAGCTATTGTTTCATGAATGTACATATATACTACTCCTGAACTAACATGAAACCTGAGTCCCGCAAAGCCATAAAACAAGAAACTCTCCTTTGACTTTGGCTGTCATTCTTGGCCATGTGCAGGATTTGATCATAATCAAGCAACATACAAAGCAACTGAACATCCTTGCAGGATTCATTTCCCTATTTTTAAAATCTGCAGATAAAAATATCCTGAAAGCATCCTCAAGTACTATTTCCAGATGTTTAAAATGTAAACAATTCAGCTAATGATAGGTGAGATTATAGCTGCTTCAACCCTTTTAATTTAATTGCCCTTTTTCTTTTGTTCTTTTGTTTTACTGCTGTGTTTATAAATTTTGAAGTTATATTTCTCTTTAATGATGTTGCATTCATTTGTATATTTATTTTGTGGGTTAATTTGGTATCAACTAATAATTATTTCCATTCATGAAAGCAAAATGAAGGAGATAACCTGCAATTATTTTCTTTTGTATTTTTCTTAAAATCACAAACATAAAATACAATCACCATTTTTAAAACTTTTGTTTATGTAGGAATAATCTAACACCCCTGCATGCATTAAATATGAGGTTTACAAGCTACACACCAGAATTAATTAGTATTGTAAAAAATAAACTTCAAACCTATACAGCTAGCATATAGGGGTCTTGGAAGATGCCACTATATATTTGGACTCAAAATATTGCAAAACAGTTCAAATATTCAGAAGATATCATTTATACCAACATTTACAAAGAAGGGGACTATCAGCATCACAATAGCCAACTCCAACTGAGGATTCTCTATAGGGTTCAACAAAGCTATCTGCAAAGAGGAAAAATATGTTAATATCATGAAGTTATATGCATATACAACGGAATTCTGCACTTATACTAGCACTATGTGAAATAGCAGATTAATGGAGGCAATTGGGAAGAATAGGTTGGGCAGAAAACAATGCTTTTAGATTAAATTAAAAATGAGTTCCTTAATACATTACAAATTGGGTTACTTCCTTTTAAAACAGGAATCTACACAATTTAAATGCTGGCACAAAAAGGTAAATATTAACATTAACATACTTTAATCCACAGTGATTAAATAGCAGTTGCTAAAATCACATTATTGATTTTTAATTCCTTGAAAAATATAGCCTCAGCTGTTAAAGTCATCCAGATCATAGCAGCAACTTTCTTATCAGTTTCATGCAAATTTTGCTCAGTAAGTATTAATCTGAAAAGGAAAGAGAAGTAACTCATTTCTATACCTTTTATATTAGTTTATGGCATGATGGAATGATTTTAAGTTCCTGACATTGACGCACAGAGATAGTGAACTGCCCTTTAGAGCAGAGGTTTCATGTTTTAAGTTATTATTTACTTAGACCCATCATCCAAACTCTGTCAAATAAACTACACATTTTATAATTTGTCTTATAATTTGTGTTGTTCACCAAAAATGAGAAATATAAGTTCCTATTATACAGCGATAATTTGTATACATGCCTGTTTTATTCAGAAAATGTTTCTGGAGAAAAAAAGTGAGAAATGGAAAAACATCTAATGAAAAGAACATTAAGAAAATCCAGTAAGTATATTGTTATAAATTAGAGTTCACATAGAATGAAATCTACCTAAGGTTAAGGGTTGTCAACAAATGCAGTTCCATTCAGGGTAATGTCTAGCCTCTGCCTGGGCACTTCATGTCAGAAATTATTGCTCCGCTCGGTAACTGATTCCATTCAGCAAGTTTTCCTAACTTTCAGCTGGAATCTGCCTTCTTGAACTTAACATGAAATATTATCCTGCTTGAATCAGCCAAAGAGTGGGAAGCACAATCAAAACACACAGCCTAACTCTGCAGAGGCTGAGCATAAACTGGGAACGCTACAAGGGACCACGTGACAGAGGGCGGAGCATTCCCTAATAATTAAGCTCAGCCTACGCAGACGCAGACTGGAGCACCTCCCACTCTCTGGATGATCCGAGCAGCTCGAGGGAGAATCAGGGCATTAAAACCTGATTGTTAAGGATAACCAGACTTAGCTATGAAAGTTTTTATTACTTTTACTAATGCAATCTTCTCCAGCATGGTGTTTTTCAACTGTGCTGGACTACATCATCCATTCCCTGATCATGGCGTTGAGAGCTTGAGGTCCAAATTGGAGAACACAGCACACATACATAAAAAATATATTGCTAATTCACTTATTATTGAATATAGTTTAAAAAAAGAAACAAAAACTTCAAACCTCTTTCCACTGAGGTATTAGGAGGACTATAATTATGATCGTTTTCTCAAACATCATGATAATTATGTACAATGCACACTGGCCTACCCAAGCACGACATTGCAATGGGTCACCTGCAAAAGAAAATATAAATGGTTAATACAGCTAAAGAAGCTAACAACTGTGTTGACATATATCACAAAATTCTGCACTACAGTGTGTTGGTCTTCACTTTAGATGTGAGTTATCATTTTTATACTAGAATTTTATTCATTGATTTAATTTGTATAGCCACCCGTCTCACTTAAGTGGCTTTGAATAGCTCACAAGAATCATTTGTTATCAGTTATAGTCTTGTGCAAAAGACCCAGGCATGGTATTTCAGAATTCTGGGCCCTGGAATTTGAGTCCAAGAATTCAAAGTCCTTTGTTACATTCCCCCCTCTCCCTATTGACTACAAGATTTCCTTATTTCAGATGAGTAAGTATAAATAGGAATTACACTGTTGCTTTCATTGTTAAACAACTGGGAATAATAAAAAGGGTTGCAAAGTCATTGCAAATCATTCAAAGTCATACTTGAAAATCCAGATTTACATTCTGTTTATACATGCCTTACTTAATTTGCTTTGTTTGTGTGCATGGATGTGAACAGTGTTGTATACATTTGTTTCATGAGTGTAGAAATTGAATAGCACAAATGTAGAAATACTATTTTTCCATATAGAATCCTTGTGTATTTGAATTTACATGGCCAGTCATCTCAGCAATGCAAATTAACAGGACAATATAAATATGATGCAGTAGTAGTAGTAGTAGTAGTAGTAGTAGTAGTAAAATACTGTTCTCAATCAACCAACACAAAATGGCTCTTAAACACACCATTTACTAGTAATGTGAGATCCAATTAATTGGACTTCAATACAATGAAATAATAAAAAAGTGAATTAATAAAATTAAGAGTACTCTAATTTGTTAAATATATGTTATTTCATTTAGTCATTTTGTTCTAGAAGAATTGTATATTTGGAAATGGTATTTGTACTCAGACGACACAACGTTTAAAGATGGATTGTTTATATAAAATAAAATAAAAAAATATGAAAAAAGGACAACAAAAATAGTCTGCCCATGTTTTTATGGTTGCAAAGCAAGTTATAACTTAAGGCTAGAAGGAACACACTGTATGGTACAATGTTATGGCTCAGTGCTTGCCAGGAGAGAGGGATTCTTCCCTGAGGGGGACCTTGGAAGAGAGTCTTTTTAGTAGCCACTCCCACTGTTTTGAATCTCTTTCTGGCAGAAACTGAGTCAGCTTGTTTCTCCTGGACTCTAGGAAAATGTTGAAGATTGCCATATTCCATATTAGAGAATATCGTGCCTAAAAATAGAATTCACAGGTACAAGATATTTCTATTTCCTAGGATTTTATAGTTTATTTTGGCTTTTTTTCTTATATGTTTGAGGGTTTACATTGAAATTGTTAGCATATGAACAAAGTAAATATAATTTAAGAAATATAAACAGTGTGGATGAAGGTACTCTTATTTTATCTATTATATAAAAAATATTGGTTTATCAAATAACCTGTAGTTAACTTAGTTTACACAAAATATTTCAGCATAAAAATGGCTTAGAATGAGAATTTTTCTGTAGCTATACAAAAGTTGTCTTAATATTTGAATTAGACAAATATTCAATCTGGAATATTCTTGAAGTTCTTAGAAAAAGTTTTGTAATCCCATTTAGGATTAATTTGTTTTTGTTTTTGTTTTGCCTTCAAATGTACAGTCTTTGATACTCTGCATAAAACATTGCTGGATTGTAACTATTGTAAAGATTAGCTTTCATTGTAGAATATTTGGTGATTTTAATCATTAAACAATTAAAAAAACCAATTTTTCTAAAAAATTGTGTTGCCTAAACTACAAATAAAACCTGTAAAAAAATCTGGCTGAGGACTCAGGAAATGTGGACAAGAATCAAAAGAAGGAACAAGGTATTAGCAACAAGACAACATGTAAAAGTTTGCAAATGCAATTTACTATGCTATAAGTTAATTACAATGAGATCAAATCTACATATCAACTACTGTTGACAAAATCTTTTTTTCCTAAGACACTTCAAATGCAGACACACAACTCAACTTGAGAACTAAGCAATGGAAAATCAAATACTTTTAAACAGCTGCAATGCAAAATGGATCTCAGCCATTTCCTTTTCTGGAAAGGCTTTAAAAGACATGCTCCAGATAGTTTACTAGCTAGTCTTGATGTTTATAATATTTATATCTGTGCTACATAATACTTAAGCATTTCAACAATTTCTGATGAAAGTTAGTAAATAAACTTGCATTTTCATTTCCAAACCCATTTAGACTATTAGATAAAAGTTAGTTATAAATTGGAATATAGTGGTACTTAAAAGTTTGTGAAGGTTTTTAATATTTCTGCATAAATAGGACCTAAAATGTGACGTGTTTTTCACATAAGTCCTAAAGCTAGATAAAAATAACACAGTTAAACAAAAAAGCCAAAGGCATTATACTTGATTGATAATTATCTAAAGCAGTGGTTCCCAAAGTGGGCGGTACCACCCCCTGGGGGGCAGTGGGATGCCTTAGGGGCACGCTAATAGGCAAGGAGGCCGGCAGGGGGGCGCTAAGAGGTGGCAGGGGGGCGTTCGAGGCCCTGCAGGGTCACCCCATTGACTGTTGCACCACTCCGCTCGATGCACTGCATTGTAATGGGCTCCAGGAGGAGGAGGAGGGGATGGAGTAAAGTGCACTAAATTTGAGTGTGCTGCACAGGTGCTGCAAGAGCAGCGAACAGCCATGGAGCCGGCTGTGGTGGGGCCTGGAGGGTGCGCACGAGAGGAAAAGGAGGGGAGAGAGAGGAAGGAAGCCTCCACCATCGTTTGCGCTCATTCCTCAGCCAGCCTGGATTTCCAAAAACTCGACCAAGAAGAAAGAAAAGAAGCTTCTCACACTCTCGGAAAGTCCTGTGGTCTCTACTTGGAGCTCTTCACTAACCTTTTTTCTTCCTTCCTTTTGGAAATCCGGGATAGCTGAGGAACAAGCGGAAGCTGCGGTGGAGGCTTCCCTCCTCCCCCTCTCATTCTTTAGCCTAGCCCAGATTTCCAAAAGGAAGAAAGAAAAGGGGACAGCAAAGAGCCCCAAGGAGAGCACGCAGGGCTTTCCGAGAGAGTGAGAAGAGACACACACACACACACAGAGAGAGAGAGAGAGAGAGAGAGAGAGAGAGAGAGAGAGAGAGACACAAAGGGAGGGACAGATTCAGCTCAATTCAGCTCTGTCTGCTCCCCTCTCTCTGTCTTTGCCCAGTTTTGCAAGGATCCAGCAGCGATCTAAGGCAGCAACCTCTTAGCACTGTGAGGTAACAGCCTGACTGTCACTCCTCTTGGAATGCAAGGTTTATTTTTGTATCTTTCCAGAGACAGAAAGAACATGGCCAAATTTCCTTACAGTTATTCCCTGGGTGTGGGAGTTGGGAAGGGGGGGGGAGTGGGGGAGAAGGAGGGAGGAAGAGGCATAGAGAGAGAGAAAGAAAGAGAGTTAGAGGAGAGAGAGAGAAGGAGAGGGAGAAAGAAAGAGAGATGAGCAGGAGGAAAGGAGGGAGAGGGAGCTAGAGGGAGACAGATAGAGATAGGAGGGAGGAGAGAGAGAGAGAGAGAGAGCAACCTGTTCCCCATAGAAAACACAGAAAACCAGAAAACCTGGGGGGTCATGTGACTCAGTGGGAGTGACATTGAGTTGCCATGCCCACCCATGTCTTGGGGCTCCGAGTGTTTTGTTTTCTGTGGGAAACAGGTCCAAATGGCTCTTTGAGTGTTTAAGGTTCCTGACCTAGGGGGAGGCAGAGGAAGGGGGGCTTTGATCACATGCCCAATATCCAGGATCCTGCTCAGCCAAGCCCGCCCCTTTTTGTAGCTGCCGTGCCTGACAGCAAATTCACTGGGTGCCCCTACTGCCAGGGATCAGCCTCCCAAGCTGCCCCCCCCACATCGTAGAGGGCGATGCTGTTCCCTCCTTTCTGGAGCAGGGCAGAGTTGAGGAAGCCCAGAGCAGGCAGCTTTGCTCTACTTTCGCAATGTGCCGTCGCTGCATTCAACACGCCAGCTCCGCAGGCTCACCCCATTGAGCCCCTTGCACCTTTCCGTGAATGGGGTGAGCCTGCGGAGCCGGCGCCTCGAATGCCTCCCTGCCACGTCTTAGCGCCAAGGGGGCTGGCAGAAAGGCGCTAAAAGGCGGCAGGAGGGTGTTCGAGGTGCCAGCACTGCAGGCTTACCCCATTGACTGTTGTACTACTCCGGAGCTGGCGCCTCAAATGAGGTGATGGCGGCTTTGCTTTACTTTTCCAAAGTGCCGCCGCTGTTGCGTTCTGTCTATTTGTCTGTCTATCCATCCATACTTCCATCCAAAAGGTCTGTCTGTCTGTCTGTCTGTCTGTCTGTCTGTCTTCCTTCCTTCCTGCCTACCTACCTGCCTGCCTGCCTTTCTGTCTAGCTACCTACCTACCTATCTACCAATACCTACCTACCTATCCATCCATCCATCCATCCATCCAAAAGGTCTGTCTGTCTGTCTTCCTGCCTACTTGTCTTCCTGCCTACTTGCCTGCCTGCCTACCTACCTATCTACCAATATATCTATCTACGTACCTACCTACCTGTCTCTCTCTCTCTCTGTCTCTCTATCTATCCATCCATCCATGTTCGAAGTGCCGGCCTCGCAGGCACATTGGGAAAGTAGAGCAAAGCCAGTCTGGGAGGGAGGGAGGAGAGAAAGAGAGAGAGAGAGACCTGATGCATCAGTTTGAAATGAGGCCTAGTTTAGACTGAGGCCCTTTTCCACATTGAAACATCTTTGCCAGCACATTGAAACATTTTTGGCTTCTATTAAAGGTTTTGTGGACGAAACATGGTCAAGACTATCAGGAAACTCTCACATTTTGTTGAGGCTTTAAACAGGATCCATTGGACCAGATCTCTACCCTAAAAAATTACTTTTCCCCAATGTTTTAAAGTGCCAATTCTGAAGAAGGCAAAACCAAAATGTACTGGTAAATTATAAGGAGAACACACACACACACACTCCCTTCTAACCCTGCTGGAG